CCCCCCCTCTTTCCAAGACAATAAAAAGATTTGTCGTCGCTGCTGCTGAACATCAGCCACAACCGCAGCAGCCGCATCAGCCGCAGCAGCAACATCCACATCCACCCATGCAGCGGCAACAATTGTTGTTCATGTTCATGTACAACAATGCTCGTAAAAATTAGCATTTACATTAGGGGAAAGACAGGGGAAGGAAAGAGGTGTTGTGGGAGAGTTTGAAGCCGCGCCCCAGTGGCATAACCGTCGAAGAGGGGGCATTAACGTGGCCAAAACAGCAGCCGTAGTCGCCGCCGCAGCCGCAAATAAGTATCATCTTTTATCGTAAGATTCGGCCATTAATTTCGACCAAAATGGCAGTAAAATTATACTCAATCGTTGATTGATCGCTTAAGCGAAATTGAGCAATTTCAATAATGTCGATGGCGATCTATCGATACACCATGATAATCGACGTCTGTCGATATATGTATGGCTATTAATAATCGCTAGAATTATGTATCTCAATCATCATTGAGCCAATAAAAGAAGTCTGTGGTTGATAAATACTGCACATTGGTAGGATTTCAACTTGAAAAGAGAGTCTGTCATCGATAAGAGTCTGCGATCGATCATTAGCATCAAGACATTTTTGAAAGATGGCCATACTTTCCATAGGCTTTCCACTTGTTGTATTAATCGGCCGTGCATGGCATTATTAACACTGGACACGCAGTGGCAGTGGCAGGCAACGGGCCGCAAATGGTGGCTGCCACTATTTCCAGGGGTGTTGTTGCAGTTAAATGAAATTTTCCGCTAACTAATTAAACATTTCACTCTGGCGCCGAATTAATTGCAACATTTGTGAATACAGTTAGTCAGGCAAGGCGGCTGCTACTGCTGTTGGGCCAAATCGAGTCATTGACACAATGACATCTCCCCAAGTCGTATCTGAAGAACAGCAGCCGGGGGCAAATTGCTTTGGCACCGCACCACCAAGGTGACTGACACCGGCTGACACTGACACTACATCATCATGAGCACCCTTCACTCTCCCCCTGTCCCCCTGTCCCCTCTCTCCACCCCCCACCAACGCTGTCGGTCCATGTCCCCGCTTGTCATGCGTTTGTTTACACCAAATTAACGCACAAAATCGCAAAGAAAATCACTTTAATTGTCTCAATCATCATTGTCAAAGTGGCTTGTTCGTCAAATGCGTGGGTGCTGGCCGGGAGTTCGTCGGGCGAGTGAGTGGCTTGGTCATGGCCTTCACTGCTGGACAGGAATTGGCTAATTGGCTTAAATGCTACTCGGGCCCAAAGAAAACATCAGCGAACATGAGGCCAGCCAGTCGCGAGTCGACGCTTTACATATACTTTCCGAACCATCGAATCCAGTGATCCAATGATCAGTTTTTGAATCTTCAAGTTCGTCTTCGAGCTGATCACAAATATTCTGTCTGATTTTTTCAAGTGTAGAGGCGCAAAACTATTGCTAGGGGATTGGGGGAACCATGAGGGAAGAGGCAACTCCGGACCGGGCCGAGCCGGGCCGGGCCAACAGGTTTACCTGGTCCCGGAGCCGTGGCATCACAGCAGCCCTCTTGTCTTGGCCAAACTCGTTTACCGTCGCTGCTGACCCAATTTCGTGGCGCGCTTTTTCGACATTTTTACAACAATTTGTTTCAGCTGTGGTTGTTGTCGCTTTTTTTGCACAAAAAACAAACCCCCAAGAAATGAAAAACAGCCAGTAATGAGAAATTGTAAAAGAAATGGTAACCCAAAACGGTTCCACTCTCTGTATTTGTATCTGTATCTGTATCTGTATCTGCTCGTGCTTCTGCATCTTGCATCTGTGTCTGCGGTTGGATCAGAGTCGAGGCCGAGGCCGAAGTCGGAGTCGGAGTCGGAGTCTGCCAGGAAAGGTTTGAGAGCCACCTGTAGTGGAAGCGGTTGCCCCAGTCTCGGGTGGCGGCCTTTCACTTGGACAGCGCCACAGTGGAGCGGGTTTCGCTGGCTAATTGAAGTGATAAGAAATCGACATTGAAACCGATTATGTCAGACACGCGAAGGGTTGCGAAACTCCAGCAGAAAGACACGATTGAAAGCCCAAAGGGCTCCTCAGAGCGAAGACAGAAAATCTTTAAACTGGCGAGACTCTTAAATAAACCATTTAAAAATCCGCCATCCTGGAAAGAAAACACCTTTCCTGAAGGAAAAGACTCCCTTTTATTAGTGGATAAAAACAAATAGTTTCCGGAAAGTAGTACAGACTACAGAGAAATGGCAAGGAACATCAGAGCCAAACGAGTCTTCGAAAAAAAACTACAGGAATTACAGAAAATTATATCAAAGAGCCATTCAAATTATGGAGAAAGAATATGCAATGCAGGGCAAATTATTGAACATTCCGCTCACCCGAAAGTGCTGATTCGGGCTATGGAAGAGCGAAGAACAACTTTATTAGCTTCCCCTCTAAGATGATTGCATTTCCTAACACTAATTCCTGGTTATGATGCTAGTTTTTTAAAGATATAGCTATCGCAGCCCCATGAGTAATCTCTGTTTTCAAGAGGAAGTAAATTAGAGCCCTTTCGGAGGGTAAAAATCTGGGCCTTGAGCTCCCGCCCCGATATTCAAGCATTGTTTGTTGGATTAGTATTTTCCTTTTACCGCAGAGTGGGTCTCATGAATCACCAGTGTGACTCTCCTTCCGACTCAATCACCACTTAACCGCATCTTCCACTTTTTGCCTCCGTCAACACTTCTTTCGCTTTAGTCTGTCTTCTGCAGCTCTTTATCGACTTACATTCTGCACTCGTTTATCTCTGTTCATCTCCTCCGTCCGTCTTTCCTATTTCCTGGTCTCTATCCCTCTTTCTCAGGCACCTTCATTCCCCCTCCGCTTTCTCGACACTCGCCCTCCCTTGTTCGCCGTTCCAAGCGCACTTCAGGCATTCCATTCCACTCATTCCTGGGTAATGCAAACGACGTTGATTCTTTGTACATAATTTCCCATAAGCGAGTGGAAAAGTGATCGTGATTTACCATAAGTCCCGAAGAGATAGATGAATATTAAGATAACTTTTGTGGGCTTAACCATTTCCCAGTGGAAATGTGAGTGTGCACTATTGGGGGGGGGTGCAGTGCATATGATATCCCACACTCATTACAGAGTACACTACAGACGAGTACATGGCACATTTCTCACCCACTCGCGAAAGCGTTTTCCCCCGTAACATGCCGCATTCCAGCATTCCAGCATTCCAGCATTCCCAACCCAACAAGATCTCGCCCGGCGCCATATACACATACGTACCCCTCCGATTTGTAAACTGGATAGACAAGCGTTAAGTGCCGTTAGATATTTCAACACCCGCTCGATAACAACGGCGGCAACGTCGGGTAACCACGGCGGGGCATGTGTCAACAGCTCCCTCTGCCCGAAAGCAAAACAAAGCCCAAAAATAGCAAATGCCTGGGCCGGCTGATCGGAGAGACCCACTCAAATGTGTATCTATCCATCTACAAGATACAAGATACAATATACTCGCAATACAAATACTTACCGAAAGCCAGACAGAGCCGAAACCAACAACCAAATTTCGTATTTCTTTTACCCAATCGAGCACGCCAATTACGAATACCCCCGAAATCCAGCAACGATTTGCTTTTGGTTTCTGTTACATCACATTTTGTTGTTGTTGTTATTGTTGGATCGTACAACAACAGCAACAATAAAAGCAACAAAATATTGTACGGCCGACGAATTTGAAAGACAAACAAATGGCAGATATCTGGGCATTGTGGATGCATCCCCACATACGTGACTTACATTCAAATGTAAGCCATAAAAGAAAACCCTCTCCACATAAGCCGGAATAACGTCAAGGTCGTCCAGTCCAAGACACACACACACACACGCACACACGCACAATCATTACAGAGGCAGGGCAAGGGAGGAGGGTGGCACATCGCTTTGGTTTATTGGGACTTAGTGCAACACTCTGCCGTCTGCTGTCTGATGCAACTGTCTGCCGCAACTGCACTCGGCCATGCAATTTACATCATATTTAAGCAATCGAAACTAATGGTTGTGCGCGTTGTACATAGAACCAGGCCAGAAGCTCCTTTAGACCGTAGCAATCGCAGCTCACACCTTCGTTTGGGAAAGTGCAGCATGTTAAGCCTCTCACTCGACATTTTTTCACTTAAAAAATTACCTAATAACGCTTATATTAATAGCCAAAATCGTACAGAAAATGGATAATTTTATGGGATAAAAATAATGAGAAAAACATTCGACAGCCAAATTTATTGATGGAAAAGTGTGCTTAAGTCCAGAAAAAATATCATACAACATTAACGCTTGTTTAGAGGAAAAATGTGTCGATTATAGAAGAGTAGTATTATATGGAGTTATATATATTATTAGATATAAAAATCCATTAATGCTTGTCCCTCTCTGTTTATGATTTTTGGCTCTTAGAGCTTCCGCTGCGAGACTCGACCCCATAGAAGAGGCATTGCCGGTAGGTCATTCAGTAGGGATAGCTCTAATGGTTTGGAGAGATATATATGGTACAGATTCCCTATATACCAGAGCCTCTTGCTATGCCCACTCCCTGAATATCCTCTCCCAGCAAAGAGAAGATTTATCCCATTCTGATCTTAGATATGGAAGTAAGCCGAACAAGAAGATAGCTCAGATAGAACAGGATATTCCAATCAAATCAAATCAAACCCAACTCAAATGTTTCTCTATCTATGTATTTTTTCAGCTGGCCAACGAGGAGCACTATTGGAAAAAGAAAAGATCCCAAGGGACAAAACTGGAGAGAAGCAAAGCCTCAAGGCAGCACAAGGCACAAGCAGCAGAGTAAAGGACGCAGCTTGGCGGATCATAGAGAAGAGCAAGGCAGAACAGAGCCGCGCCATGCACAAAAGAAAGAAACGCTAGAAACGCAGAGCGAAGCGAGAGACAGAGACAGAGACAGAGACAGAGAATACATGTATAGGGGAATCTCTATAGAGAAAGAGAAGAAGATAATCCCTTGAACCTTAAGCCAATCCAAAACACGTAACCATATCCAATCCCAATCCGAAACCCGATCATTATGGTACTCAATCTACTCTTCATAACGACTGTGATCAAGTCGACCTTCGGCGTGGTGACGACGGGCCTCTGGCTAATACCGCTGATGCTGGCCGCCATCACCTACTATCGCTACGATGCAGTCGACCCCGAGTCGCGGCCACTGGACCAGCTCAACCTCTATCCGGAGTACGACTTCATAGTGGTGGGCAGTGGCTCGGCGGGGGCTGTGGTGGCCAATCGGCTGAGCGAGGTGCGCAAGTGGAAGGTTCTGCTGATCGAGGCCGGGCCGGATGAGAACGAGATCTCGGACGTGCCCTCGCTGGCCGCCTACCTGCAGCTGAGCAAACTGGACTGGGCCTACAAGACGGAGCCCTCGAACAAGGCCTGTCTGGGGATGCAGAACAACCGCTGCAACTGGCCCAGAGGCAGGGTCCTCGGCGGCAGCTCCGTCCTCAACTATATGCTGTATGTGCGGGGCAATCGCAACGACTACGACCACTGGGCCTCGCTGGGGAACACCGGCTGGGACTACGACCAGGTGCTGCGCTACTTCAAGAAGTCCGAGGACAACCGCAATCCCTATCTGGCCAACAACGCCTACCATGGCAGGGGCGGCCTGCTGACTGTCCAGGAGTCGCCCTGGCACTCGCCCCTGGTGGCGGCCTTCGTGGAGGCTGGCACGCAGTTGGGCTACCAGAATCGCGACATCAACGGGGCCCAACAGTCGGGCTTCATGATCGCCCAGGGCACCATCCGACGGGGCTCCCGCTGCTCCACCGCCAAGGCATTTCTGCGACCGATCCGGCAGCGCAAGAACTTCCATCTGTCGATGAACTCCCATGTGACGAGGGTGATCATCGAGCCGGGCACCATGCGGGCCCAGGCCGTCGAGTTTGTCAAGCACGGAAAGGTGTATCGCATTGCGGCCCGTCGGGAGGTGATCCTCTCGGCGGGGGCCATCAACACCCCGCAGCTGATGATGCTGTCGGGACTGGGGCCGCGGAAGCAGCTCGAGAAGCACGGCATCCGAGTGCTGCAGGACCTGCCCGTGGGCGAGAACATGCAGGACCATGTGGGCATGGGCGGACTCACGTTTCTGGTGGACAAGCCGGTGGCCATCATTCAGGATCGCTTCAATCCCACGGCCGTCACCTTTCAGTATGTGCTGCGCGAACGCGGACCCATGACGACCCTCGGCGGAGTCGAGGGCCTGGCCTTTGTCCACACGCCGTACTCCAATCGCACCGTCGACTGGCCGGACATACAGTTCCACATGGCGCCGGCGTCGATCAACTCGGACAACGGGGCGCGGGTGAAGAAGGTGCTGGGCCTGAAGGAGTCTGTCTACAAGGAAGTCTACCATCCCATTGCCAACAAGGACAGCTGGACGATTATGCCGCTGCTGCTGCGTCCCCGATCGAGGGGCTCGGTGAGGCTGAGGACGGCCAACCCCTTTCACTACCCGCTGATCGATGCCAACTACTTTGACGACCCCCTCGACGCCAAGACCCTCGTCGAGGGCGCCAAGATCGCCCTGCGCGTGGCCGAGGCGCAAGTCTTCAAGCAGTTCGGATCGCGGCTGTGGCGCAAGCCGCTGCCCAACTGCAAGCAGCACAAGTTCCTCTCGGACGCCTACCTGGAGTGCCATGTGAGGACCATTTCGATGACCATCTACCATCCGTGCGGGACGGCCAAAATGGGCCCCGCCTGGGATCCCGAGGCCGTCGTGGATCCCCGCCTCCGAGTCTACGGTGTGCGCGGCCTGCGCGTGATCGATGCCAGCATCATGCCCACCATCAGCAGCGGCAACACGAATGCACCTGTCATCATGATTGCCGAGAAGGGCGCCGATCTCATCAAGGAGGATTGGCTCACCAATCCCGAGTACAAGGTGAAGCGACAGGCCTCCACCTCCTCCACCGCTGGGCGCACAAAGAGTCGACCTGCAGCAGGCGACACGGATGAGGCAGCCAGCAGCATTCAAGGTATCAACATCAGCAGCAGCAGCAGCAGCAGCAGCAACATCAGCAGCAACATCATTGAAGGCAGCAACATCGTCGACAGCAGCAACATCACCTATTCAGAGAGTTAGGTCGATCAGAGTCAGAGTCAGCGCCAGATCAGTGCTCAGGGGTCCATTAGCTTTAAACAATGTTGAGAGAGAGAGAGAGAGAGAGAGAGATATCTCCCTGTTTCTCGCCAAACGAGCATCCATGTTGCCATTCATAAGAGGTTTTTTTTCTGGGAGTGCTGCGGATCACAGCAACAGTCTCCAAAGAAATCTAGAAGAATTGTTTTAGCCACACAATAATCCCAATAATGGGATCAATTGCAAGTTCTACAAAATCTAAAGCTCCAAGAAACACCACCAAATCGAATCTCATTTCCAGCTGCTCTCCACGGATTCTTCTACAAATTTTGTGGTACAACTAATTCCACTCTCCACTCCTCGACCCCCGACCCCCGACCCCCGACCACCCTTTTCCATTGCAAGAAGACAACAGAAAGAAGCATGATGAAATCGAGTCATAGATTATAGCCTCCATTGATGTGTATTCCTAGCTTTAGTTAATTATTGTTTTACTATTTTTTTGTTTGTTTTTGTTCCTTTTTGATTTCGATTACTATTTGTGTAATTTGTCGTTAAGTTATGTTTTGATTAAGTTAATATTCTACGACTATTTATACAAAAAATTCCCATACACGCATGCGCATTATTTAAACGACACACATTCTATTTAATATATTACATTTGCATAAACATAAGCATAAACATAAACATTATGCGAACGAATGAATTAGCAAATTAATGGATGAGAATGGTATGCTCACTCCATAGGGAGGCACGGCATTTCGCAGACAGCCCAAAAGCAGGCCACGAAAATGAGATGGTGAGTTAGTGGTGGCATAAAGAACACCATCGGATGCTTAGTCGATATACTATCGGCTACATGTGCCAGTGGCGCTGTAGCACAAAGAATTCTGAATTTAAATCAATTTATTTTAAATAATTTTGAGCACATTATTTGAAGAATTTTTGTACCCCTTCGTCTTCTTTCCTTTGAAAGGTATTCCAAAAAATTGCATATTTTTCTTTGAAAATACAAAAACTTCAAAATCATTTATTGGTTTTGCGGCTCTTGCCGAATTGGGCAAAATATATTCGGGATTCAGCTTCAGCCATTCAGCTTTAAGGCCATCCTGGATGGCGAGGAGGAGGTATAAACTGACCAGAATATTTAATATATTTAACTATTTAACTAGCCGAGCTTTGTTTTCGGGTCTGTTGGGTCTGTTAATATTTCTGTTATTGTTTTCATCTTAGAGGACCCTATATTGCCATTTGTGGACTTTTTTATAGACAGATTTTCTATAAAATTACACATAAAATCGAATCAAATTTTTCAAACAGACCCTTCGCAAAGTGGAACTCATTAAAAAGAACAGACCAAAAAGCAAGCCATGGCAGACTCGGAGCAGGGCCAGAACAGGACCTATACATCACCCATTGCATCTTTGTAGGCCACAGAAACCTACATATGTACGTCAAAGACCTCGAGAGGAAGCTTCAAGATGAAGCAGCAGCAATGGGCAATGGGGTTTCATGCAAAATTTAAGCGGAAAAAAGTGTAAGAAAGATCTAAAATTATATCGATGGGCAGATATATATAGTAGATGAAACGATTAACATATAATTAAATAGTATCTCAATCGCCTTTCTCCTTTACTATCTGGCTCTTCAGAGCCGCAAGCACATGAATATCATGAAAGGAAGAGGGCTGCCAGAAGGCGGAAAACATTTGGGAACTTGAGGGTTTGGTATTCCCGATACCATTCCATTCAATGGCTCTCTGTTTAATCAGTAACAAGCTATCTAGTGGTAGCATTGATGCAGAAATGAGGAACCAAACAAAGGTTACGTTTATATTTTTTGTTCCGCTGACAAGATATTCCGTTCCCGTTGATCGTCTCCCTGGATCTTCCTCACGAGTTCTTTATCAGGGTACACAATCTGAGTCACGCTCCCATCTCCAGCAATACAGAGGCAAACATAAATGATAGCCTAACCTTTGGGCGCGACTTCACGTCACGTCACGCCATACACAAAAATACAGAAAAAATGGCTTTAATTTATGGCCGCTGAGAAGACGGCGAAACAATCATTTTCACAGTTCGATGGGGAACCAACTTTGAACTTGTCACAGAGGAACGCCCCAAACAGAGCAAGCCGAAGGAAAAACCAAAAGAAACTGAAACAGACATCGAAAGACTTAACAACAGCCCAATCAATGCGTTATAAATCATCTTTTTTGACAGGCCCCGACCAACGGACCGACCACAACCTTGGTCAACAGTTTTCATGCTAACACGCGAACACATCGGAAGCCGGAACTGGCCAATCGACTCTCCGCGGTCTAATCAACGCAAATTATATTGAATGTCTTTTTTCCGAACAGTTTCCGATATCGAAGGCATGCTAAACGATCAGTCCCTGTCCCTGTCCCTGTCCAACTTTGGACGTACTTCGTTAATGTTCTAATTGAGGCCCCGAAAAACGTACAGACTAAAAAGATTTTATTTTAACTCAAGGCACAAAATTGATGGCTAATTAATGTAAAGGTCCAAGACGCTGAGCTCCGAATTTATAAAAAAAAATCAAAAAAAAAAAATCAACACGAGCCCACAATTCACACATTTTAATGGACTGGACGGAGCAGATGGAGCGGTTCAGGCAAGTTCAAGGCCTGGCCGGCGGAGAGGCTGCACCGAGATACGCCGTAGCCTCGGGTATGACCGTTTCTCAATGCGTTCCAGATAATGCTTTCTCTTCAAGTACACATTCTATAGTCCGTTGGGAATGCATCATCTGATCTGATCCTTTACATCGGATTCCGATGCGCCCACAGTATCTGCCATTCGAGCCGCTTTACCGCTCGGGGTTTCGACCTGTTTTTAATTGATATTCGTCTGCACATGGCGTACGAGAGTACCCAGACCTGACACGCCCCCATCCGTGCATCCCAGAGAAGGAGATGGCGCGTCTCGAGGTCTACGTGACCAGACGCCGCACCAGACACTAGACACCAGACACCAGACACCTGACCATTGCACTGCAGAGCTCGTGAAATGCTCAGAGAGCACTTCAGAGACCTGAAGCTGTGCCCTAGACCAGCCACCGATAAGCGATTTCGTGGCCAAAAGCGCAATAAAAATACAATCCATATGCGAAATATCCAAAAATCAAAAAATTTGCTGAAAAGGAAACTATGTCAATGGCCAACGGAAGTGTGTGCGCTGCCAAGCTACTTCCGTGTTGATGTGTTACCGTTCTAGTTAGAGGTCAATAAACTTGTTGTGTGCCCCGTTAGACACCGCTGCCATCGTTGCCATCGTTGCCATCGTTGCCATGTCCCGGCTCCGCCAAGCAGTTGACCCAGACCCAATGAACTTGATCTTTGTCTTGGACTGGCTTTGGTATTCGAATATTTGCATACAACTCGCACAGACGCCAGACGTGCCACTCACCTGTAAGGGAGATACGTGAAAAAGAAGAGGGAAATACGGTTATTAATGGGCTGGGCTCGGTTTCCATATTCCATATTTCATGAAATTCTTAACAGATTAACGATGATGTGTAAATATTCATAAGGGAAACATTCTTAGGTCTATCGGAAGTAGCCCCAAGACCAATCCGATCTCTTCAGCTGTAACCGGTCGACGGCTACAGAGACCCGACCCTGGACCGTGATTAGTGATAGTGTTCGTGTTCGTGTTTGTGTTCGTGTTCGTGTTCGTGTTAGGGCCTCGCCTGACCCATTTACCCACTGAACCTGAACAGCATGTTACGTATTGAAGTGGTTACATCAGGCCTCACTTCAAGCTTTGAGGAACCCCCACCCCAACACACACACAACCTTGACGATCTTGATTCTTTTTTTTGGTAGGAAATTGGGACCAATGACCATAACATTTTATGGTCTTACACTTACAGAACGGGAGATTGGTGGTTAAGCTGCTTTTTGGTTCTGATTGAATCATTCATTTACATAATAGTCAAACTATGTGGAAATAGACGATTAAATATTCAAAGAGTTTCCACAAATATTGATTATCCGGAAACTGAATATTATTTCCGGCTAAAACAAATGAAAGCAGCTCCATTTATTCCGCAAATAGAAGACACTCAACCAGGTCAAAGTAAATCACGGCTTGTTAGTTGAATGTGTTTTATTATCGGATCGAAATCGGATCACTATATCATACAGACATATGTCAGGTTTTAATTAACACGTTTTTCGATGATTCACTTATTTCATCAGCTTTGGTTCTCTTTTACTTTACGAGCTCTTTGATGATTTTGATTGGTGGGGATGTTACTACCAACTCTTACTGCCTCTCTGTCTTTCCTTCTTTCGGAGCCAAGGACCACGTTCGAGAGCCTCTCATCTTCTCGCGCCTATGATCCTCTTTTAGCGAGTCTCTGCGCTCAAACAAAGCAATAGAATAGGCAAATGACAAGAGTAACGGACAGCCGAAAACGGAAGACAAGGCACCGCCAGCAATCATGTCGCATCTGAGATGTACACATGTATCGTGCTGCAAGGGCATCCAGAACTAGCCTTCCTTTGGTGTTTTATTGTAGAACAAGGAACGATGTAGTCTGAATGAATCATTCTAATTGAAATGATTATTTTCTTAAGCTCCAGAAGTTTGCAGAAACCAATTAAGTGCCAGAGATAAATGTTCACACAAAATCAGCTCCAAAAGAGATACAAAAAATGTGATTTTAGGGCTTTATATTATCATGGAATTCAATACAATTATTTCCCCCAAATATTCGACTATTATCCAATTGATTGGAATGTTTTGTGGTAGGAAGTCAGGCCAAATGAATCAATTATTGAGAGACTTCGGCTTAACCCGCAGCAAAGTGGATTGCTATTGCTCGTCGGTCCAAAACAAATCGATTTCGGTCTCTGTGCGGATGATTGACATGACAAAGCAGAACAGAAACGGAAACAGACACAGAAACAGAAAAGTTGAATAACATTTTGATATGACCACAATGCGCATAATTGGAATACGCATATACCTAGATATATGTAGATACAGACAAAGACACATACGATAGTTTAAGCAGATACTCGTAACATTACGGTTTTGTTTGCTCGGCATTAAAGCACATTAGAGTGTGCAATTATTTGATTTGAAGTCCAACACTCGGCATCGGCAGCGACAAAGCCAGGAAGTTCCGTACTGATCGCACAAAAAGATCAAAGTGGTCTCGTGTTGATTGATGATGGATAGACGATGATCGCGGGGGATCACGGCCATAGATATCTAGACTACTCGAACGGGAAGAAACGCCAGAAGAGGCTTCAACAGAGAAGAGCATAAGAGATCATTTCAGAAGAGATTCTCAATCAGAACAGGGATTAAAGTTTATTTTGAGTTCAATTGAAACCAGTTGGAATGCTGTTTGGATTGTTATGAAGCGATGTTGTGGTTGCCTATCTGCAGTGGTGTGTAGGTGTTCAATTGAAACCAATTTGAATGCGAAAAGTATGCTGTGTGGATTGTTATGGAGCTTTGTTAGAGTTACTCTCACGCATGGGCGTGGAGGTGGCGATGGGTCTGGCGGTGCCGTCCAGTTCGAAGCCACTGTGCTGATCCAGAGGGTCGGATCCGAGTGTGTCCCAGCAGTGCTTGTACCAGGCCGAGACCGACTCCTGGGGAGCCAGCCCGAAGCCGGCGGCAATGCGCTTCATCCAGTCGCAGAGGCTGCTGAAAAAGGCCTTGCAGAAGCGCTCACGGCGAGTGGGGACCATCGAACGTACACGATCCACCGAAACGGTCAGTGAATCCGTATACACCGCATCGTTGTTGTTGCCTTGAGTCCAGCTGTTCGAGCCTTCCGGGCGAAGGCTGGACACATTTTGGTCATCGCTCTCCAGATCCAGAGAAATGCTGCCGTCGGTTGAGCTCTGGCGTTGCGGCACAGGGCTTTCGATGGCCTGCTTCGTCTCGACGGCATTCACCACCTTCGATTGTAGCCCCAAGACATCCTTCTCCTGCTGGACCAGCCCCGAGGTGCTGGGCTCATCGTCAGGACTCCCCGGGCCCATATCGCTGGGCTGGGGGCCGACACTGGCAGCCTTAAGGAATTCGCGTAACTGCTGCTTTGTATTACGTACGGACATCGCGCTGTGGGGCGAACAGGGGCACTTGGACTCACATACACACACACGCGTATAATTTACTCACAAAAATTCGATGATTTTCTTTATGCGTAATTTTGATTTTGAGGAGCTACTTTTTGCTCTGCTGTGATTTAATCGACAGCTCGGTCTAAACTGTTTCCAGGAATAGCCTGGCCTGCTATCCCATCTCTAAAGGATTCCTAGATTTCATATGCTGCCTGTCAAAGCCAGGAAAGGGCATACTGTGTTTCGAGCACTCGAGCTTTGTGGGGGATTTTCGTTGGCCTTGGGTATCCCCCCCGGACAGATTCATTTTAAGTCTGCGGCCATGGCAAATATTATTCAAAAAATACGCCCGATAATATTTACTTTGGTATTTGGGCAGATAAAAACCCAGCCCAAATGTAACTAGACTGGAACAACGGGTTTGTTTTGGGAAGATCAGGTCTCTAGAATGGGTCCCCGCATCCGATCTGCTTCAGGGGTATATGCAAATTTGTGGCCAGCATTAGAATGCCTCGTCACGATGATCGAAACAAATAGCAATCAGTCGAATCGTTTTATGCTGAGGTGGGATTCGATTGTTGGCATGCCAGTCGTTCTGAAGACCATTAAACGATCATTAAACGAGGCTGCCACCTGAGTCAACACCAACTCAATTGTTCACTCCATTCTCCATTCCTATGTTCTTTGGCTTTTCCAGCACAATTTCCCATAAGCGAACGGACACAGACTCACGCATGAAGATGCCAAATGAATGGAAAATCGTTCATCTTTCCTTTTTTTAATAGAATTCTGTGGAAATCTCGATCTCGGTCTGAATGCCAGGGGCACAGATGGGCCACACACCACAACAAAAAAACAAACATGTCTCGCACACAAAGTCGAGGCCCAAAACAAGAGGCACTCGGGCCGCGGTTTTGCCAAAAATAAAATTTGCAACAAGACTAACAGAAGAAGAAAAAAGCTGCTTTGAGAAAAACTCGGTCAAAGACAACGAGTTGTTGGATAAATTCTTGACTTGAAGCGTACAGAAACAGCCACAATACCTATCGATGCGATGGTGCTGTGCTGTAAGCCTTAAAAGCCACACTTTAATTGCCGTTAGAGCCGTTGCAGCGGCCAGAAGCCAGTAGCTTGACGAACTTGAGGCCCAAAACTGCAGACAAATTGCGAAATTTGAAGCCAACTGTTGGACCGGCAAGAAGAGCCCTGACTCCGAAGTTTGCGGCCAACAAAAGGCACTTGAATGTCAACGGTTCTGGTTCTGGTTCTGGTTCTGGCCCGGCCTTGAGGCTCTCAGAGGTTCTGGCCTGGGCTGAACCTCATTGGTATGCTGAATGATCAGCTGGTGTCGATCTCCCTGGAGAGGAAGAGCAACAACTCCCAACTGTCCAAGCCCACACCAGACCCACAGCCACAGCCAGAGCCACAGCCCCTGTCCTTCGACCAGCCATATATCTCATTTGGGGCGGAGAACACATCAAAAAATCATTAAGCACCATCTTAATTTATCGTAATTTTTTATGCTGTTTTCTTTTACGAGTCGTAGTAGTCGTAATAGTAGTAGTAGTATGTCATATGGTTGCGGTCGGCTGGTCGCCTAGACGTCAGGTTTTCGTGCCTAAAATCTCTGTGGGTTTTCAAGCAAAGTAAAGCCCGGGTTCTCCGATTCTCTGGGGCTGTGGGTCGGATTCTAAGCCCTGAGTTGTTTGCATGCAAGCGGAAATAATTATAAAATTATTCGCTAGACAATGCGTCAGGCAAAACAGTATTATGGGCAGTCAAGCAGCCACCTCCGACTCCCATTCACCCAATCGCGAATGTAATTGCAATCGTGAGAGGCAGTTCCTATCACTGTGATGATGGTGTGGAATCGTTTTGAATCAAATAAATGAAGTGTTTTCAACTGGTAATTTATCATATCGAACATCGCGAACGGACATCAATTTGTCGACCCTCCCTTCAGAGATGCACTTGGGATGCTCTTTGGTTCAATCAATATTTGACAAAGAATATATTTTCCAGAGTATCAGAGTATCAGTTTAATCGTATCAGGTAGATCTGTTAGATTCCCTTCGATGTTGATATTTCCTTTATTTTTTTCCACTCTAAATGTTCGCAATTCCTTGGGAATGTGTAAATTATTCCAGATATTTACATTCCTTAAGATGAACATTACGCTTTCTATATTTTTTTGAGAGTGGAAATCGTAAAAAGAAATTATTTTCGCCTACATTTTGACGTTAATTGAAAAATATTTGATTTAATTTCAGATTTCAAATAAATATATTTAATATTAAACATAAAATAAATAAATAAATAAATGAAATAAATATATATTTTATACAAAAAAAAAACAAATATATTTAAAAAAAATAATATTTTTAAAATAAACCTATTTAATACTTAAAATAAATAAAATTTATACTTAGAAAGATATCTTCAACATTTAAAATAAATTTATTTCATATTTAAAACAAATATATTTTATATTCAAACTAAATTTATTTCCTACAAATTTAATATTTTATATTTCTTTTAAAGTATTTTATTTTAAGACCAATGTGCGCCGCATTTAAAATAATAATTTTATGTTTATTTAATTACATTTCTGATGTATATGTTTTATTCTTTTATTTTTTATTAATTTTTTGTTTATTTTAATTTTTTTGTTTTTTTTTTTTTACTTTTGTATGTATGTTATTTTATTTATTTAAATCAAAATGCATTTTAACTAATATTTCATTTAAATATGTTCAGTCTTTAATTTGTATTCCAATAAAAAAGTTTTCAATTCTTTTCAAACGAAGCGTGACAATTATCCCAGATATGCATATCAGACATTCCTTAAGATGAACAGCACGTTTTCTATATTTACAATAGATGTGCCATTAGATATTTTGCTCTTGTTCCTGAATATATATCTCGTATATCGGTTCCATTAAATGGTAAATGCAAAATGCATAAATCAGCAGTACTTAATAATGTTCCGTCTTTCGTCTTGAGCAAGCGATTTGTATGCATATTCCGTAGCGCCCTGAATTTGATTTTTCCAGGGAAACAAAACAAAACAAGCAACCAAATCCTTTGATATAGAAATCAGCAACTATCGAATGCGATAGTCTCAGATGAGATCCCCTGATCCCTTTCTTAGAACTGCGTAATCGTACACCTCTGATCAGAGCATTTCTATCGCTTCCACGATTACAGCCCTTATTTCGAGCGTGAAATTCAATGGAGAAAGACCTGTTCTTAGAGGGGGATTTGTGCAATTTAAATAGACTTTGGGCTCATTAATCGTGTGGAATCGAATGGAATGCTTACGATCTTTGATTGTTCGATAATTTCAGCCTTTCAATGACGGTTCGATCCCCTGGCGACCCCCCCAATGATGCCATGCTGCACGTTCCTATAGTTAGGGGCAGGGCGGGGCAGAGCAGGGAAGGACAGGGCAGGGCAGGGCAGGGCAGAGAAATAATTGTTGCTCATCGGACAGACAGTTCGATCCAAGAGCTGCTATTGTCAACGATTCCCAACAATCTGTGCGGCGGTAGGGCTGATAGTAGTCTCCCGGCGGTGCATTGCGCCAGTCGATTGCTGGAACTGAGTGTTTCCGTCTGACTGTCTCCCACCATGACTGCTAGGACATCGCAAAGGTCCTTGTCCAGGCCCTGGGCCCTTGTCCTGGCCTTTCTGGGGCTCCTTGCTGTGAGCGCGTCAGCGGCCGAACAGAGCTACTACGACAACAGCATGCTCGATATGATGGAGTTCATGCGACGGGGACAGGCGCAGCTGGATCTGGAGGCCCTCGACAACGGCCGGAAGCTGCTCACCAAGTACGACTTCATTGTGGTGGGAGCCGGCACCGCCGGCTGCGCCCTGGCCGCCCGCCTCTCGGAGAACCCCAAGTGGAAGGTGCTGCTGCTGGAGGCCGGCGGACCCGAGAGCTACGCCATGGACATGCCCATTGTGGCGCACTATCTGCAGCTGGGCGAAATGAACTGGAAGTACCGCACGGAGCCGTCCGCCAGCTACTGCCTCGCGATGAACAACAACCGCTGCAACTGGCCGCGTGGCAAGGTGATGGGCGGCAGCTCCGTGCTCAACTACATGATGTACACCCGGGGCAGCAGACGCGACTACGATCGCTGGGCGGAGTTGGGCAATCCCGGCTGGAGCTACAGGGACGTCCTGCCGTACTTCCGCAAGTACGAGGCCTCGAACATTCCAGACGCAGACCCAGGACCCACTCGACCCGGCCGCCAGGGACCCGTCAAGATCAGCTACACGGAGCCGCGCACTCGCATCGCCGATGCCTTTGTTCGGGCCTCCCAGGAGGCGGGAATGCCGCGGGGCGACTACAACGGAGAGACCCAGCTGCGGGTGTCCTATCTGCAGGCCAATGTCTACAACGAGACCCGCTGGAGCTCCAACCGGGCCTACCTCTATCCCCTGAAGGGGAAGCGCACCAACCTCCACGTGAAGAAGAACGCGCTCGTGACCAAGGTGCTCATCGATCCCCAGACGAAGACGGCCTACGGCATCATGGTGCAGACGGAGGGACGCGTGCAGAAGGTGCTGGCCCGCCGGGAGGTGGTCGTGTCGGCGGGGGCCATCAACACGCCGCAGCTGCTGATGCTGTCGGGCGTGGGGCCGGCCAAGCACCTCCGGGAGGTGGGCATCAAGCCGATAGCCGACCTGGCGGTGGGCTACAACCTGCAGGATCATATAGCGCCGGCGGTGAGCATGCTGTGCAACGCCACCTCGCTGCAGATCCGAGAGATGTTCAGTGTGAAGGCACTGGGGGACTACTTTCGCGGACGAGGCCCGCTGCGGACGCCCGGCGGCGTGGAGGCCATTTCCTTTTATGCCCTGGACGATCCGAAGAATCCCCAGGGCTGGGCGGACGTGGAGCTCTTTGTGGTGGGCGGGGGCCTGCAGACGAACGTGGCCCTGCGGCTGGCCCTCGGCCTCAGGCCTGAGATCTATGAGGACATGTTCGGCGATCTGGAGCGCAGCAACGCCAACGGATTCCTCATCTTCCCCATGGTCCTGCGCGCCAAGAGCCGCGGGCGCATCAAGCTGCGCAGCCGCAGGCCCCAGGAGCATCCCCTGATCTACGCCAACTACTTCTCGCATCCGTACGACCTCAACATCACGGTCCGTGGCATCGAGCAGGCTGTTCGGCTGCTGGAGGAGCCTGCCTTCCGGGCCATCGGCGCCCGGCTGCTGGAGAAGCGTCTGCCGGGCTGCAGCCATCTCCGCTGGCGGAGCAGCGACTACTGGGCCTGCCACGCCCGCCACTTCACCTTCACCATCTACCACTACTCGGGCACCGCCAAGATGGGTCCCAGCAGCGATCCGGCGGCCGTCGTCGATGCCCGCCTCCGGGTCCATGGCATCCGCAATCTGCGCGTCGCCGATGCCAGCATCATGCCCCACCTCATATCGGGCCATCCCAATGGCCCCGTCTATCTGATAGCCGAAAAAGCCGCCGATATGATCAAGCAGGATCACAACTATGTTCTCTAGTTGTAGATCCTAGAAAGGAGCAGAATTTGTCTTATAGGTGGAATAAATACAAATATCTTAAGGGTAGGGGATCGAGGGATCTTCGACAGATCTTTTACAATAGGCCGGGAGACACTGATCTCAGGGGCTCTTGAATTAATCATTCGACGAATGAATGTACGAGCAGGTAGTGAATGAAATAAATATAACATCAGCGAGCATCAATGTCGCGTCATGCACAGGACATGTACAAATGTTTGCTTGTTTTTCTTTCTTTTTTGTCACGGGCATTCCCTGAAATTCGGAAGAAAGTGTTTTTTTATAAGACTTAAACGTAAAGAATGCTCTCTAATGAAGGAATTTTCTATTACTTAGATTGAAAAGTAATATATACAAATATTTATAAATATACAATATTAAGAAAAAAGTGTATCCTACAGTACGCGTCGTCGATGACGATGTGTTGAGAGTCTGAAGTCATCCAAGATGACTTTAACATTGGGAGTACCTAGGGCTTCATCAATGACATTTTCAAATGACAGTCTTTTATGATTAATCGATGACTTTAAAATAGTAATCAATTAATAAGCGACAACTTTATAAAAAGCAATCAATGAATAATCGCTAACTTAAAAAACTAATCGAAGCCTTTGAAATAGTTATCAACGAATTATCGATGATAGTAATCAATAAATGATCGATAAATTGAAAAATAAATCAATGACTTTCTAAAAAGTAATCAATGAATCATCGAAAAATTCAAAATAGTAATCAATAAATTATCGAAGACTTTAAAAAGCCAATCAACGAATAATCGATGACTTTAAAATGGTAGAATGGAAAATGAAAAGGTATATTTTGGTATATTTGTAAGAACTAAAATGTATATTTCAATCAATGATCCCTGCTTGTGTAAGTCTCTCTATTCAACAAATTTAGTTAGTTCTTACACCATATCATCCTCCATTCGTGTTTTGCAAGTCATTCGACAGGTCTGAGTGTCTAGAAATCATCAATAATCATCAGCACACTTCCATTATTAATTCTTATTGGTTTAGAACAACATGGTTTAGGCCTTTGATTTCGATCTGGTTGGGGAATACCCAAAAGAGCGACACGACAGGTTTCTTTGTCTCTAAATTCCCGCTAAAAAATCGCAGCGTGGTAATTATATCAATCGGAAAGGAGAGAGGATTAGAGCATCTACCAAGACTAGCCATGGGAGGCCCTTTAATGTTTGCTTCCGCATTTTGGTCCACAGCCACCAGAGCCAGAGACAGAGACAGAGACCGACACAGAGATGACGATGACGATGACGATCGGCTCTGAAGTCAATGTCAGATCTCCATCTATGAGCTTTCAATTTCAGCTTGTATTTGTTGTATCTGTGGCTGTGACTGTGAACGTGCCCACAGACCAGTATACCAAACTTTTGAAATCTTTTGAAGATTCTTGGCGATCGCTCGTGTATGCTGTGTGCTGGAGCCGAGCGCTGCAGCCGAGAGATTCGCAACAACACGATCGGATCGGCGCTTAAATTTAATATTAAATTGAACTTGGCCAGAGCGTTTGGCAGCATTACTAGTTCCGAATCCGATTGGGCAAGACGCGACCACCGATCACTCGCGATCACTAGAACACTGCGCGATCGCGATCAATTTTTTCTGAATTCTCTTCTTGGAGTGTGTGTGTGTGTTTTTTTTTTTTGGTTTGTTTCGTCTGGAGTGCCGCTAGTGGAAGCCCGATGATGGCCAGCAAAACGAATCTGCATCTTAGTCTGGGACTGGGACTGGGACTGGGACTGGGTCTGGTCTTTGCCTGCTCGTTGCTGTCTCTGGTGTCTGCCCAGGAGAACAATGTGCTGTTCGAGACAATCAACTTCCTGCGACGCGGGCAGGCCGACGTCGACCTGGAGAACTACGACAACGGACTGGTCCTGGACACCGAGTACGATTTCATTGTGGTGGGAGCCGGCACCGCCGGCTGCGCCCTGGCCGCCCGCCTCTCGGAGAACCCCAAGTGGAAGGTTCTGCTGCTGGAGGCCGGCGGGCCGGAGCGCCTTGTCATGGACGTGCCCATTGTGGCCCACTTTCTGCAGCTGGGCGAAATGAACTGGAAGTACCGCACCCAGCCCTCGGACCATGCCTGCCTCGCGATGAACAACAACCGCTGCAACTGGCCGCGTGGCAAGGTGATGGGCGGCAGCTCCGTCCTCAACTACATGATGTACACCCGGGGAAATCGACGCGACTACGATCGCTGGCAGGCGCTGGGCAATCCCGGCTGGAGCTACAAGGACGTCCTGCCGTACTTCAAGAAGTACGAGGGCAGCAGCGTCCCCGATGCCGAGGAGGACTATGTCGGTCGCAACGGCCCCGTCAAGGTCAGCTACGTCAACTGGCGCTCCAAGATCTCGGAGGCCTTTGTCGACGCCGCCCAGCAGGATGGGCTCAAGTATCGCGACTACAACGGACGCATCCAGAACGGCGTCGCCTTCCTCCACACCACCACCCGCAACTCGACCCGCTGGAGCTCCAACCGGGCCTACCTCTATCCCCTGAAGGGGAAGCGCACCAACCTCCACGTGAAGAAGAACGCCCTCGTGACCAAGGTGCTCATCGATCCCCAGACGAAGACGGCCTACGGCATCATGGTGCAGACGGAGGGACGCGTGCAGAAGGTGCTGGCCCGCCGGGAGGTGGTCGTGTCGGCGGGGGCCATCAACACGCCGCAGCTGCTGATGCTGTCGGGCGTGGGGCCGGCCAAGCACCTCCGGGAGGTGGGCATCAAGCCGATAGCCGACCTGGCGGTGGGCTACAACCTGCAGGACCATACGGCCCCGGCGGTGACATTCACCACGAATGCAACGTCCCTGAAGTTCGAGGACTTTGCCGATCCGACGCTAATCAATAGATTCAATCGGATGGAGGGGCCCTACGGATCGCCCGGAGGCTGTGAGGCCATTGCCTTCTGGGACCTGGATCATGAGCGCGACGAGGATGGCTGGCCGGACATTGAGCTGTTCCTGGTGGGCGGCTCCATGTCCTCTAATCCGGCCATCTCGCGCGCCTTCGGCCTGAAGAAGTCCATATACGATGCGCTGTTTGCCGAGATCGAGGACAAGTCGCTGAACGCCTTCATGATCTTCCCGATGATACTGCGGCCCAAGAGCCGCGGCCGCATCATGCTCAAGAGCAGCGACCCCTTCAAGTATCCCCTCATCCATGCCAACTACTTTGCCCATCCGTACGACGTGGACATCTCGGTGCGGGGCCTCCTCAAGGCCGTCAGCCTGATGGAGCAGCGCGGCATGAAGGCCATCGACGCCCAGCTGTGGGAGCGCAAGATCCCCACCTGCAAGCAGCATCCCTACAAGAGCTGGGCCTACTGGGCCTGCTATGTCCGCCACTTCACCTTCACCATCTACCACTACTCGGGCACCGCCAAGATGGGTCCCAAATCGGACCGGGCCGCCGTCGTCGATGCCCGCCTCCGGGTCCATGGCATCCGCAATCTGCGCGTCGCCGATGCCAGCATCATGCCCGAGATCATGTCCGGCCACCCCAATGGGCCTGTCTTTATGATTGCCGAAAAGGCGGCCGATATGATCAAGCAGGATCATGGCTTCATCCCGTGATTATTCCACTCCCCAGTCCAAAGTTTCATCAGGTCTTAGCCCGGTTTGCACAAGGCCAAAGTCCACTGCCCATCCCCCTCACTTGTCCCCATCGTTTGCATCTTTGTTTTGTATTCTGTTTAGTCATACATATACCATCTTTTATGTCTCTCCATCAACCTCCCCGAGTTGGCCAAGTGCGAAGGGGGCTTAAGTTTTAGTTAAGGCATTCTTAACGATTCTTTGTTATTCTTAGTGTACCTCTCTTTAGCCTGAACTGATTCTAATTTAAGTCTAGACCCGTAAGCTCCATGAATAAATCTCTTAAGATTACCATATACCATATATTTGTACAATGTGTCATTTATTGCGTATTCATCCGAGAGAGGGAATTGACAGCACAGCTTGATCAGGGATCAGTTATCAGGGATCAGTTATCAGGGATCAGTTATCAGGGATCAGTTATCAGCAATCAGTGATCAGCAATCAGTGATAAGTGATCAGATATCAGTGATCACCAATCAAAGATCAGCTATAAGGGATCAGTTATCAGCAATAAATGATTATTTATCAACAATCAGTGATCAGCCATCAAAGATCAGCTATAAGGGATCAGTGATCAGTTAGAGGTGATCAGTTAGAGGTGATCAGTGATCACTTATCAGCAAATAAGTGATAAGTTATCAACATTCAGAGATCAGCAATCAGAGATCAGCTATCAGTGATCAGTGATGGAACTTCCATGACTGTTCTGCTGATGATTGGTGATTATGATACATCAATGCGTGCCTCAGATTTTCAGAAATGTAGCGTACAATAATATGATCCATTTTCCTGATGCATGATGCAATACATCATTCCTGTTGGCTTATATCGATAGGTTCTGAGCCGATTATATATACGAAGCGTCGGCGCTGCTGTGCTGATACAAGCCGCATGATACATAGGGCTCCCATCGACACTGACTCTCATTTTTAATGAAATCTTCAACGTTTTTCTTTCGTGGTTTTGACAATTTTCATGCTAATAAATTTTTAGCGTGTGTATTTTTTTTGGGTTCGTCTATGTCCGTCTTGTTCTTCTGTTTGATACCTTTTTATTGTTGCGGAAATGATTTTTGTGGTCTTGGTTTTATGTCTGTGCTTTTTGTTGGTCTTTTGTTTTGAATTTTTGGTTTAATTTGCATTGATTTGACCTTAGCCCCGGGGCGGGAACTTGGGAGGGAAGGGGGCCGTAAATCAGTCACAAATTGAGAACAATTTCCAGAGCAGGAACCACCCAAAAGTATGCTTCAGCTGATCAAAAGCTTTACTTGTGAAAAGCTCAAAGTGATCTTGCCACAGAAATCCATTCCAATTGATTTGGCATGCTAGGTGCCACAGCAGGCTCTATCGATAGGTTTGCTCCGACATTTGATCGGTTCAAGACTGTCTCAGATTGAAGATCAATGCCACGAAGTGTGAGAAGTGAGTGAAAGATCAAGACTATTCAAGGGTACTTCGAATAGAGCGCGACAGATCGATCGAAAGCGAAAGCGAAAGAGAGCCGCGAGCTTAAGACGAGTGAGTCGGGGCTGCTGCGTGAGAATATCTATGTAGGTTTGTATGCAGATGACAATGTGGTTCTGTGGGCAGTACAAAAAACGACACTGGCTATAGTCTATGTCTATAGTCTATATAGGCTTATATCGGATAGATACTTCCCTCATACTCAACCTAGGACTCAAGAGTACCCCGGCATCTCTAAGATCTCTTTTAAGACAATGGTTGTTCATTAACATGAACAAGAACCGACACAGGCCGTTCTATAAACAATACAGACCAGTTGAGAATACGGACCATAGAGTAATGAGCGATTCGACCACAAAACCATATACATATATATGTTTATGGGTCTCGACAAACCCAAAACTCTAAACACATGTGGTGTGCCTTCAATAGCACTATAATTAGAGGGGATAAACAAGTGGCCCTTTTCTTGGCATTGGTCTTCGTTTGCAATTGGATTATGAAGTTATGAAGATAAAACAGTTCGCAATTACAACTCAGCATCGCCATCAACAATGGTAGAGGCCTTAAACTTTTGCCAAACTCAAAATGATCCAAACTTATCGAAAATTGATCAATTTATGGGATAAAATACATTTTCTCTTGAAAATCGCTTTGGCAAAGCTGTTGAAACAGCAATAAACCGAAAAGTTATTGCTGTTTCAAGACTTAAGTCCGGCACTGTACATATTACCACTCCCTGAACCCAAATCAACCAGGAAATACACTGGAAAGGTGGCCTCCTACTATTGGTGATATCAAAACCATTTCTAACGACAATTCTGGTGGATATCTGGGGAGCTGCAGAGGCCACATTCACGAGCCATGCCATCAGCCTTGGGTTTTCATTAACACAAATTGAAATATTCATGAGAGTCCTTGGAGGGCGGGGTTTCGAAAACATGAATGAATGCATGCAAATGCCGTGACCAAAACAAGACCCACTCCCAGCCGGATAAACTCCCCCCCCCCATAAATCTGGCCGTCAGCGGCCACACGGATTTGTAAGAGATTCCCGGCCAGGATTGGGGGCCAACTGCAGCCATATGCTGGCTGTCGGACAACCCCAAGGGGTGGTTGATGCAGCTGCAGTGGCCACCCCCTTTTGGCCGGGGCCGAAAATTGTTTTGCTTTTGTTTGCTGAATGTCCAAATTCGCCATGGGAAACACCGGAAAGCCAACCCCTGAGAGCTCTCTCACCCTCACCCATACACTTCGACCCCCCGCAGATGTCGCTGTGCAAGAGCAGAGCCGCAAGAGAAACCAGAACAATTCCCCGCGGCCAAGTGCCATTGAACCAGGTTCAGATGCAAAGGGAAAGACCGAAAGCAAACAGCCCAAGAAACACAAGAAACAGATACAGACGGAGCCGGAGACGGGGACAATGATATACTTGTTGATAGAGACAGAGATATAGTTAGAGAAAGAGAACGAGATGGAGAAGGAGAGACATGGGATGAGCAGGCAGAAAGCAGCAAGCAAATTAGCAAGTGGCAATAAAAATTCTTGGCTCTAAAAACAATCTTGGCCCGTTTTGGCCCTACAGCGACGAGAGAGTTGGAGACGAGACCGAAAGATCAGTCGAGGAGAACCAAAACCGACGACGACGACGACACTTGAGAGGGACAGTGGGGCTAATGGAAAGATCCATAGGTGGATCTAACATTTATTTATTATATGTACATTCCCGCATACGAGTGCGAGCTAAATATTTAATATTCCGCTTATCCGAAAGTGCTGATTGGTGCTATAGACAGAGAATGTCCCCATTGTGAGGCGCTCATTACCATCGAATCTAGATTTAAACCTGTTTTGCAAAGTTTTGGCTGGAAACCACTTTTAAAAAAAACTGATTATCACAATATTTGGAATGATTTTGTGCGCATGAGCCATACGAGGTCACCGATTTAATATCCAGAAATATTTTAATTTTATTGTCTAGCATCCGACTTCGCAAATGTATTTATGTGATCTTTGAATATACTATACACTCAGAGAAAAGAGCCCTGAAATTGTAGTATTCTCTTAAATTTTGATATAAATATATTTCTTATTTAGATTAAATACATTTCCCGCAAAATTAATGTATTATATTTAATTTAAAAGCGTTTTATATTTCGATTAAATATTGATGCCTTTAAATCAAAGTAAATTCCTTTTGATTTCAGTACGCTCTTATTTCAAAACCGAATATTTGAATACAATATGGGTGCCAAGCCACAGATAGTTCAAAAAAAAGATACTTCTTCCCACCAAAAGACATCCTTTAATACCAAACAACACGAACTCCAGTACGTTGGTGTTTGCGTGGCTTGAAAGTGTTTCATTTTGTGCCCACTGTGCGAACCAGAAGTTCAATTTCACCGGCCAGCCGGCCAGCCGCAGAGTTCAGTCAACGGCGCAGAGGTAGCACAACCAGAGGTACGGCTACGACAACACCATGGAGAACCTGCTGCTGCTGCTTATGTCCGTTCTTCTGGGACTTCTTCTGAAGATCCCCAATGGCAATGGCGACCCAGGACGCGGCCGAGCACCCGATTTGGAGGAGCTGCGGCGCCTGGGCATCGGAAATGTGGTCAATGTTCCGCTCTACAGCGACGGTAAGTGCATGACGGCCATGTGGCCATGTGTCCCCATGGTGATCTCCAGCATTCGTGTGATTCGCAGCGCCATTGGGCAGCTATGACTTCGTTGTGGTGGGGGCGGGAGCCGCTGGCTGCACTCTGGCCGCCCGTCTCTCGGAGAACCCCCAGTGGAGTGTGTTCCTGATCGAGGCCGGCGGCGTGGAGAACATCATGCACCAGGTGCCGCTGATGGCACCCTCGCTGCAGACCACCGCCTCCAACTGGGGTTACCTGTCGCAGCCGCAACGCCACGCCTGCCGCGGCATGCCCGACAACCGATGCTCCCTGCCCCGGGGCAAGGTCTTGGGCGGCACCAGCTCCATCAACTACATGATCTACAATCGGGGCAACAGGCGGGACTTCGATGGCTGGGCCTCCGCCGGCAATCCGGGCTGGAGCTACGCGGAGGTCCTGCCCTACTTCCTGCGCAGCGAGTCCGCCCAGCTGCAGGGCCTGGAGCAGTCGCCGTACCACAACCACAGCGGACCCCTCAGCGTCGAGGATGTGCGCTATCGCAGCAGGCTGGCCCACGCCCATGTGCGGGCCGCCCAGGAGGCAGGACATCCGCGCACCGACTACAACGGCGAGTCCCAGCTGGGGGTCTCCTACGTCCAGGCCACCACCCTGAAGGGTCGCCGCCACAGCGCCTTCCGCGCCTACATCGAGCCCATACGGAAGCAGCGCCGGAACCTGCACATCCTCACCCTGGCCCGGGCCACCCGCCTGCTCATCGACGAGGCGACCAAGTCCGCCTACGGGGTGGAGCTGCTCCACCAGGGGCGGCGTCATCGAGTGCGCGCCCGGAAGGAGGTCATCCTGTCGGCGGGGGCCTTCAACTCCCCCCAGCTGCTGATGCTGTCGGGCATCGGGCCGGCGGACAATCTCAAGGCCATTGGGGTGCCGCTGGTGCATGCTCTGCCAGTGGGGAAGCGCCTCTACGATCACATGTGCCACTTTGGGCCCACCTTCGTGACCAACACCACGGGCCAGACACTCTTCAGCGCCAATTTGGGTCCCCCCGTGATCAAGGACTTTCTGCTGGGGCGGGCGGACACGTTCCTCTCCAGCATTGGCGGAGTGGAGACGCTCACCTTCCTGAAGGTGCCCCGAGCCCGGACCCCGTCCACGCAGCCCGACATCGAGTTGGTTCAGGTGGCCGGGAGCCTGGCCAGCGACGAGGGAACGGCTCTGGCCAAGGGGGCCAACTTCCGGCAGGAAATCTACGACAAGATGTACAAGGAGCTGGCTCTCAGGCAGCAGGATCACTTCACCTTCCTGATCATGCACTTTGCCCCCGCCTCCGTGGGTCGTCTCTGGCTGCACAATCGCAACCCCCTCGAGTGGCCTCGCATCGATCCCAAGTACTTCTCGGCCCCGGAGGATGTGGAGTATCTGCTGGAGGGCATCAAGGAGGCCATTCGCATCTCCAAGATGCCCGCCCTCCAGTCGATTGGCGCCCGCCTCCTGGAACGCCCTGTGCCCGGCTGCGAGTCCCTGGCCTTCGCCTCCGACGACTACTGGCGCTGCTCCATCCGCACCCTCTCGTACACGCTCCACCACCAGGTGGCCACCTGTCGCATGGGTCCCGCGAGCGATCCCACCGCCGTGGTCAGTCCCCAGCTGCGGGTCCATGGCATGAGGCGGCTGCGGGTGGTGGACACCAGCATCATTCCCGTGCCGCCGACGGCCCACACCAATGCGGCGGCCTTCATGATCGGGGAGAAGGCGGCGGACATGATACGCTCCGACTGGAGTTGAGGAGCTGCCAGGGAAAGAACTCGTATCGTATCGTATCGTATCGTATCGTAGCGTATCTATGTAAATGGGTCAATAAAATGCTTAAAGAAAGAAAGCCCAAAGAAAGCAAAGGGTCAAACCAGTCCGCTGTACGCCGGAGAGCAGTCGGGTGTCGTCATGACCTAGCTTAATAAAGCCACCACCAAGCGATCCAATCCGAACCGATGCGATCCAAAACGGGTTTGAATTGGTTTCATCAGACATCAAGTTCAATGACAGTCCAGTGCGAATGAATAGAGCACGCGGTGAGTGCGTCGCCTGTCTGTCGTCTGGGTGTATATATGTACACTCGTATGGAATTTGCCACACTAAATGCAGTTGAAAACTGCGTGCCCAGAGGGACTGGGATTGGGATGCGATGCCCAGCACGCGCCAAAGTTAAACGAACCCAAAACGAACGCAAATGGAATTCAACACTTAACAAATAAGCGAGAATCTTGTCATTCTCCCTTCACATTTGGCCAGGCTTAGAACTCTCTGGCCTCTGATCGTCCGTGGGGATACCCTGTATTGGCAGGGCCACTTCTGCTCCTGATTCCACACCTAATTCTCCAGCCATCCATGCAGAATCCAATTAGTTTGGATCTTTTATTAGATATTCATTCAATCAGTTTTCAATCTTTGCATTTGTTTCTTTTGCTTTTATGCTTTGGTTTTTTGATTTGATTTGCTAATTGGTCCATGGATTTCCGTATTTTAATCGGAAACTAAAACTGATTTTTGTTTTAGTTCCCTGTCTCTCTCCAGTCTGGTCGAGTTTCTAGTCTCTACTCCAGACTTAATGTATTCTCTTCTTTAATTTCTGTTGTTTATTTATTCATTATTTCGGTTTTTGATTGATCTTGATCTGAGGTGAAATTTTGCTTCATTCTTTGTTATATTTATGCTCTTTTTATTTCATTTAATTTTGTTTTTCTTTTTTTTTTGTTTCTTTTATATTTTTATTAATATTTAATTTTTTATTTTATTGTTCCTTTTTGTTTTTTATTTTATTTATTTTTTATGTTTTTTTCCCCAATTATATATATTTTTTTAATATACTTTTTTTTTAATTTTTTCTTTTTTGCTTTTTGTTTTAATTTTTTCTATTTTATTTTAATTTAATTTTATTCTAATTTATTTTTTTCACTTTTTTTGGTATTTTTTCTTTATCATATTTTTTTTTTAATGTTTTGCCACAATTGTTTTTTGTGTTTTTTTTTTATAGGTGTTTATATCAATCTACTACGTATGTTGAATATGATAAATTATTTATTTATTTTTAATTGTGGATTTTAAGTTCTTAAGTTTTTTGTATGGTATGTTGGGTTTTATAGGAAAAATTAAGAGTTTCCTAAACCTATAATTTGTGTCGTTTCCATTCTGTAAGTTGATCTTTCCTTTTTGTTTCTTTTATTTTAGATTTCTGTTTTATTTTCAAGATCTTTGGTTCATTTAATTTATTCCCTATTTTGCTAATTTCTTGAAGGCTCATTCTATTCTTCGGTTCATTTATTCCAGTTTTTATTTCAAGTTGGTGGTCGATTTCAATTCGATTCTTGGGTTTTTATATTTCAATGATTCATTCTATTGTTTTGTCCATGGATTAAATTTATTTAACTCTATTTTTATTGTCTCGTCGGTGCACCCGTTAATTTCCACCCAGCTGGAGGCGCGAACAGGGTATGCAGTGTTTATGGCACAGCCAGTACAGGCAGAGCTACAGGTACAGGTGGGTGGGGACGGCATTTGATGGGAGTTTAACAGCGGCAGCAGCAGCAGCAGCAGCAACACCTGAAAAGGCCCCTCTGCCGTGGCGCCTGAGTCACTCCGTTGGGAGTGGGCTCCGGTCCCAGGGCCATGGCTTAAAAGCAACACCCATCCCGCGGATGCAGCTCATTTGAGTCCACCATTGGCCAAAATGCAGTCCATCATGTGGAGTCCACAATTCCGGCTGACCTGCTGCCTGCTTATGCCGCTGTTCCTGCTCAGTGGAGTCCAGACGAACGGCAATCAGAGGCTGCTGGACCAGCTGCAGCAGGTGGGGCTGGTCAATCTGCTGGAGCAGGCCACGCGGCCCAATGGTAAGTGTTTAAAAGCCCAAGATCCCCGGGGATCTCCCTCGAATACATGTAAATTCTGCTGCTGCTTCAGTGCCCCAGGATCTGGCCACGTACGACTTCATTGTGGTAGGAGCCGGGGCAGCTGGCTGCACGTTGGCCGCTCGACTCTCGGAGGATCCCAGCTGGAAAGTGGCCCTCCTCGAGGCGGGCGGCGTGGAGAACATTGCCCACTTGACGCCCGTCCTGGCCGGCTATCTGCAGCAGACGGCCTCCAACTGGGGCTACCACTCTGTGCCACAGCGCCTCTCCTGCCTGGGCATGAACAACCAGGAGTGCGCCCTGCCCCGGGGCAAGGTCTTGGGCGGCACCAGCTCCATCAACTACATGATCTACAATCGGGGCAACAGGCGGGACTTCGATGGCTGGGCCTCCGCCGGCAATCCGGGCTGGAGCTACGCGGAGGTCCTGCCCTACTTCCTGCGCAGCGAGTCCGCCCAGCTGCAGGGCCTGGAGCAGTCGCCGTACCACAACCACAGCGGACCCCTCAGCGTCGAGGATGTGCGCTACCGCACCCAGCTGGTGCACGCCTTCGTGGAGGCTTCCGTGGAGGCGGGTCTACCCCGCACCGACTACAACGGAGAGTCGCAGCTGGGGGTCTCGTACGTCCAGGCCACCACCCGCAACGGCAGGCGACACAGCGCCTACTCGGCGTACATCCAGCCAGTGAGGGACTACCGCAAGTCCAATCTGCACATCTACACCTTCTCGCAGGTGACGCGACTGCTCATCGATGCAGAGACCAAGTCCGCCTACGGCGTGGAGTTCCGCTACAATAGCAGGGCCTACACGTTCAAGGCTCGGAAGGAGGTCATCCTGTCGGCGGGGGCCTTCAACTCCCCCCAGCTGCTGATGCTGTCGGGCATCGGGCCGGCGGACAATCTCAAGGCCATTGGGGTGCCGCTGGTGCATGCTCTGCCAGTGGGGAAGCGCCTCTACGATCACATGTGCCACTTTGGGCCCACCTTCGTGACCAACACCACGGGCCAGACGACCTTCACGTCCCGAGTGACGGCCGCCGAGGTGCTGTCGTATCTGCTGGCGGGGAATCCGGCCACCAAGCTCAGCTCCATTGGCGGTGTGGAGGCCCTGGCCTTCCTGAAGACCGGCCGGTCGACCCTGCCACAGGACTGGCCCGACATCGAGCTGATCATGGTGTTGGGGAGCCTGGCCAGCGACGAGGGAACGGCCCTCAAGCTGGGCGCAAACTTCAAGGACGAGATCTACGACAGGATGTACAGGCAGCTGGCCCAGGCCAGGCAGGATCACTTCACGCTCCTGGTGATGCAATTCCATCCGCAGAGCGTCGGCCGCCTGTGGCTGCGGGATCGCAATCCCTTGGGCTGGCCCAAAATCGATCCCAAGTACTTTGTGGCTGAGGAGGATGTGGAGTACATCCTCGATGGCATCAAGGAGGCCATTCGCATCTCTAAGATGCCCGCCCTCCAGTCGATTGGCGCTCGCCTCCTGGAACGCCCTGTGCCCGGCTGCGAGTCCCTGGCCTTCGCCTCCGACGACTACTGGCGCTGCTCCATCCGCACCCTCTCGTACACGCTCCACCACCAGGTGGCCACCTGTCGCATGGGTCCCGCGAGCGATCCCACCGCCGTGGTCAGTCCCCAGCTGCGGGTCCATGGCATGAGGCGGCTGCGGGTGGTGGACACCAGCATCATTCCCGTGCCGCCGACGGCCCACACCAATGCGGCGGCCTTCATGATCGGGGAGAAGGCGGCGGACATGATACGCTCCGACTGGAGTTGAAGGGCAGTGTAGGAATAGATTCGATCCGAGGATGCGAGTTGGAAGGAGGTCGACTTGGAGAGTTAATTAAATGGAATTACCTTAACGAGTCCGTCTGTCCTTCGAGACAGCCGGGGAGATGGTGGGGTAGGCGTAGGCCTTGGGGGATGTGTTGCCTAGAGAGTGCATTAACCCAAGACCGCGACCGCACAAGGGTTGAAAGCCGCTTTGGATGTGGCACAGGCCCGGGCGCAGCAGGCACGGGCACAGGCACGGGCCCAGGCCCAGTCATAATCATCAACAGCAACAACAGGGGGTGGTTTGACTCGGAAGCTGTCTGTGCCTGTGCTTAGATGGAGAAGGGGAGGGTGGGTGGAGTGATGGGATGGGATGCAGTGTCATCAGGGTTGTGCGCATACAAGTGGTTATCAGTGTTCTTGCTTATCGCTTCCTTTTTCCTTCTTGTTGTGTGAAACATTCAATATCCCCCCACAGGAGGCAAAAGCTTTCCAGTCCCCAGAGTTGCAGAGCACCGCAGTGTGACCGTAGTCGTTTCATCCAAGATTTTAGTATTTTAATTTTATATTTTATGGCATTTCCAATTATAAAATTTTAAAATATGGAAACTGAAGAAGACTAAGACTAAATATTAAAGCTTATTAAAAATTATATCCATAATATATAAGTGTTCCCGCAACCCACATAATAAACAAATACAACTTATTGAATACAGTTACCGCACTTTTGCGGATTCATCTGAAACCCACCATTGAATTTTTTCGGTATTTTTTGGGAATTTTATCGTATGCCCGTTTTGCAATGGGACACTTGTACAGTAAATCCACGCTATTCGCATTATTTGACGAATGTTTTCAAATGGCACAGGGAAACATTCAAATATCTTCAATAAACATTTTAAAATACATATGGGCTTTCCGTGGAAATCTCAACCCTGGCAAAAAAATCTAAAGTCAATATAAACACATTTCCATATCCTTTTCTCCCGATATTATTTTTCAATCTATCCAATTTACATATATTTTCATTAACTTTGATCTGAAAATCTATTAAAATAAGCAAAAGTTCGCTTTTTATGTATTTTTGATATTTTATAGTCATGTTTTCCTTTAGTATTTTCTCCTATAAGAAAGAAAATGTTTCCTAAAAGTCTATTGAATTATCTAAAAAAAAATACCAGAAAATGTTCTCAGTACCGCAAATAGGTATATTTTTTAAGTTTTAAATTAAATACAAAACAAAACTACAAATCATAGCCATTTTAAAAAAACATCAAATTAGCATTAATATATTGCCGCAACTTTAGCTTAAATCTGCTTTGAAATTGATCGCCGCGAAAACCACTTATAACATATTGCAAAAATTTTCAAAACGAATAGTTGCCCAAAATCGACTTTAACATAAATTTAGGGCAAATCACGACCTTTGACCTTTTTACCACTTGCAACTTGGACGATTTGTCCACATTTGACACAATGGCAATACCCAGATGCATATTTAGACAGCGGCAGACGGTGGTCACACTGGCCAGTCAGCTGTTGGCAGCTTTTTATATGGAAAATGCATCTTAAAGAACACTAAGAAATGTGCAAATGAGTATGCCTAAGAAAAAGTTATATTATATTCTATATCGAAAGAGAAATTCCCACTGGCATCCAGCCCTGGCTTTAATTATACGACCCTGTCGTTCTGTCGCCCTGCCGCCCTGCCGCCCTGTCGCCCTGTCAACATGCGGTTTTCTAATTGCAACGTTTGAAAATAAGTCAACAGGCGGCTGTAACCCCCAGAAATGGGCGGTGCTGCTCCAATGAGGGCTGAACGGATACTCGTAGTAGAATGGGCCGAGGGGGAGAACTTACCTGAAACAATTAACGCCTCATTCGGACCCGTTGTGTGTATGTTTCCCATGGTGGATGGATGGTTGGGTGGTGTACGCTTTTTTTGCTGTTCGATTTTTATATCCAAAAAGCTCCTCTCTGCACTGCTCTCGAAAAGTTCTCTTTCTCCGGCTCTAAACGGAGAAACAACAACAACAATAGTCGTAGAAATAAAAAAAGTAAACGAAACTTCGATAGCCGAAGTTCTAGATGCACTTCCAGACAAAACACTTGGCCCTTTATAGTATTGCTTATTTTCCGATCTGTTCTGTGATATTGTCACTTTCCCTGTTCACACTCCCTATATCCCTATTGTTATGCTTCTAATTTTTTACTATCTATAAGTTGTAGCTGCTCTATGGAATGTTGGGATAAAAAATCCAATGGATGATCGGGTATACCTAAACTTTAGAGGGTAGCAAAGAGGTTTGCCGAACGCAAAGGATCGCCGCAAGGGTATTTTATAGGGAGCTTTTTGTGGCGCTGCCCGAAAGTATGCTACACTGTTTTTCTCCCCGAATGTTTTTATTGTTGCTTTTCTGTCTGTGTTCGTTCCTTCTTCTCTTCTCTTCTCTTTTGTTTTGTTTTCATCTTTTATCGTATTTGTATATCCCTGGCTGTAGAAGCTTTCTGCTTTTGGGGCGGCGGCGTCTCCAGCAACTTACTTAGCATAAAATATACATACGTATACATATGCACATATACACACACTGACGATCAGATGGAATGCGCAAAATGGAATTGAATTAATATAAAAACAATCGTCAGTTTTCAATCACACGTAGGAATCCCCGCTGCGGGGTGCCACTTGATAAGCTGTGCGCGTGATTTGCTTTTATTGTTAATAAAGTTGCATGTACATGTGTATATATTTTTATCAAAGTTCAAATAAAATTAATGCGAATTGCTGGGCAGAAAATAGAACAGCTCAACCATTGGTGTGGGGGGGGGGGGGGAGGGGTGGGTTTGTAGCCAGAACAGGGCCGGGGCCGGGGCGGCACATGACGTAAACGTTGAAAGTGAATTGGGCGCGGGCAAGTTATATTCAATGTAAGGTGGGGTAGGGCCATCCAAAAATAAATGCCATTGCGTGCCAGAATTCGACGAGAGCCAAAAGAACCTATGCGTGTGTGTAGCACCACACTAATGTGTGTGCACCCATGGGGGGCCAATGCCTAACCTCGTACTCTATATTCCTTGGGGGAGGCTTGGGCTAGCCGAACGAGAAATAGAGAGAGATGGAGAGAGAGAGAGAGTATGTGTGGGAGAGTGTCTGTTTGCGGGGAGAGTGCCTTATCAATGAGCTCATCATTGCCTGGTCTGCCCCTGCACCCCTCACAAAAGTATACAAAAAATTGAGATTAGAACAAAAAGATAGAAAAAACCGAATCAGAAGAGAGACCAAAACACGAAACACTCACACACACTGAGACAATAATTTAACCCTTAGTAAATAATTCTGATTGGGGGTTGCTCTGCCGCTGCGGGGTCTCATCGGAGGTAAACAATGTTTTGTTATCGCGACCTGCTGCTGCTGTTGCTGTACCGCCCGCCGCCCCACTGTAACCCTCTCCTACAATATATATGTATATCCCCGATTCCGACTATAACCATAGGATTTTATCACAATTAGTAGGGGAGAGACCCGGCTCAAAAAAGAATCGCGCGCGTAGGGGAAACAGCATCCCACAGGCGACTGCATTTGTTTCGATTCCATTTTCACTCACAGAACAGCAAGAAAAATATATTAAAAAAACATGGGCCTGGAAGCAAACGCGCACAAGTTTTATTGATCAAAGAATCGGTTCTAATTGATTGTATTTTTATTAATTAATATTAATTTCTTCGTGCAAAATTTACCGCACAAAACTCGCACAAACTCCGTAAACAGTGTGAACTTATCGATTAAATATTTTAGAACTGGAGAAACATCGATGTTAACACCGATTTCATCGATGTTTGGTGTACAAGTAGACATCGATGTTTTTTCCCAAACATCGATGTTTTTCGATTTGTAGGTTATTTACACTTTTATTAATATATTTGATCTAGATATAAAATTAGCTTAAAGTATTTGCTTACAGGATTTATTTCTGCCCCTTTTCGCTCAGCCATAGTTATCACTCCACCATTAATAAGTGGAACAAGATTCAACAAGATAATATATTCGGAAAATCGAAAATTGCAACTAAAAGGCAACCATAACTAAACTTTTTGCCGACTAGGCCCCTATGATTATCCTTTAAAAAAAAACGTAGTCCAAAACTCAATAACTCAATAACTAGTGTAAAAAGAAAATTTATTATTAATATATGTAATTTAACACAGATTTAAAATCTGAACGTTGGTGTGTAATGACTGCATGTATCAGGTGGCGATGCAATTTCTACACCATCAAGTGGCCCGTGTGACATCAGCAAAAGGCTGTTAAGCACGGATCCCAAGAAAACCGCTGCCCTTCCCCAGCCAACCGACCGAGGGGGCGCTGCCGCCTGAGAGCAGCGCGAAAAGCGAACCAAACGCGAGCATCTGGGAGAAATAGCTGATATTATATTATAGATAGCTAATAGATTAATATTCGAGGAAAATTAGATTTAATCTTACTAAAATAACAAAGCATGCATTCAAAATATATACAAATACAATTACTAAATACGGGAAGGGTACGTAAGTATTAGTAATTTGATACGATAATGGGAATTGGTGGTGGATATAATGTGTTAGAGGGAATTTTAATCCGAGCGTAAGACCTTAAATGGATAATGCAGGAATAACGTTATCTAGTTTCTGGGGGGGGGGCATAGAAATAGAATATTTGAAAAACGTCGATGGAACATCGTAACTTCACATTGCTACATAATGGGAGGAAAAAGTGAATATGGACAAGAGAAAAAACGGCCAAAACGGTTCGTACGAACCTTGCCATTTGCCCTGGCTGCTTTTGCCTGTTGTCCATACCTTTAGCCATTCAAAATTACGACTCATTTTTTCGTTGAACTATTGTTTGATATATATTGATGCATCGATAAATATAAATATATTTTAGGGTATTTGTTGCTTTGCAAAAACAACGATATTTGTGTGCGATAGGTGAAACTTCTCAGAGTTATGTGGAAAATCGTACGCTATATAATTTACTGAAAAATTAACTATAGGAAGACTTGCTTATAAAGGATATTAAATTGCCTGCTTAATATCTTGCAATGTTATGCTTGAGCACAAGAATTCTGTCCCCATGGATACTATTGGTGATTCAGTCTTAAATCAGCAGCTTGAAAGGAGTGATAATTAGATTGACTGACTAGGCCAGCGAATTAAAGTGTTTTTTATTCTTTGGCTATCCTATCCCAAAAAAAGCCCCTGAATACCCCAATCCGTAAATCAAATCAAATTCGATAGAAAAACACAAAATATCGTAACATTGCATGCGATGCGATCGAAGTAGTTTGTCAAAATCACATCGCTACCTTCATTGACTACATTGTTGTTGTTTTAAATTAGATAAGTCGGTGGAAATAAATTTAATAAAATGAACAGAATTTGCCAAACTTTGTTGCGTCAGAGCTACGCGCGTGCTCCGCTAACCAGCAACCATGTAGCGGCCACAGTAACACGTTCCACCCGCTGGTACAGCGCCGATGCTTCCCCACCGGCCTCTGCGGCCGATGTTGTGGACAAATCCACGCTCGAAAAACTGGTGCGCACCAACAAGGTGGTCATCTTCATGAAGGGAAATCCCCAGGCTCCCCGCTGCGGCTTCAGCAACGCCGTAGTGCAGATCATGCGAATGCATGGCGTGCAGTACGACGCCCACGATGTCCTTCAGAACGAGGCCCTGCGTCAAGGTAAGTTGGAGCATATTAAAATTATAGTTTGAACTGTTCCTCTCAAGCAAATCTTTTTATAGGCGTCAAGGAGTTCACTGACTGGCCCACCATCCCCCAGGTGTTCATCGATGGGGAGTTCGTTGGCGGCTGTGACATCTTGATGCAATTGCATCAAAGCGGCGATCTGATTGAGGAACTGAAGAAGGTCGGCATTATCTCCGAGCTGCTGAAGGCCGAGGAGGCCAAGCAGGAGCCCAATACGGAGGAAAAGAAAAAGTAGTAGACGCCAGATCAAAACCCTCTACACCTTCCCCACAATCCTAATTATTAGCAATTGTTTATTATTAAATGTTTAACTGATACAGAAACTTATGTTGTCCATGATGTTGATGGGCTATCATCTATGACCACCTGGTCGTTGCCGCTGCTCGTCTATGTGCTGCAGGGCGGCCAGGATCTGGCCGTGGACACCGTGCGTCAGTTCGCTCACCTGAAAGATCTCGCAGCATTGTCGCTGGTACTCTTCATTTGTCATATTTCCCACAATCTGCATGAGATTGTCCGCTATGGAGAGGCGCAACATATCGTCGGGCGGCATGGGGGGCGCCAGGCGACGTGGACGCCGAGTGGGTATGGTCGTTTCTACTAGGTCATCCGTCAGCTGTTGCGATTGCTGCTGCGAGAACAGTTCAGTGGGGGTCTCTACATGCGGCTGTGGCTCCGAATCCGTTTCCCACTGCGGCTTCTCCTTGGTGTCCATCTTGTGACGAACTTACCGCTTATCTGGATTAATCAGCGTTTAGAAAATTCCTTTATATGTTCATGCCATGCAAAATGTAACTGTTAATAAACTTAGTGAAGAGTCTATCGAAGATCAATCGACTATCGAAGTCGGGGGTCGTGCTTTAGCCCTTGTGTGTGTTCGGCAAGAAATGACAGCCCCCACCATCATTTGGAATTTGGATTACTATACTTTAGCATTGAATCGATCGAAAGCGGCCATCAAGGTCATTAATCATAATATGGCAAGTATATTTATTTTCTTTTTTAGCTATTATTCCAAAAAAAATATTTTACTTAAAAAGCGCTAGATATAATAGAAAAATTAAGTAACAGAAAATGATTGAAATATTTACCTTTGTAAATACATATATTTGTTTAAATATTTCATTATTCCACCGAGATCTTGATGCATCTATGTGACTCATAATCTAAAACCAATTTGAATTTCGTTTTGAGCTTCAAAGTAATTTTGAAAATAATAAAAATATTTCTGATAGATTTGATTATTTTGAGATCTGCTTTAATTTTAATAAAAAAAAAAAATAAAAAAACGAATTGAAAGAAAAACCTTTTTAAACTTTTGATTTATTTTAAATATACATATATTTAATCGATATTTAGTTACATACAATATAATACATATTGATTTAGTGGGTGTTTTGTTTTGTTTCTCTCTTGTCGTATTGTTTTATGTCGATTGCTTGTCGTTTGTTATATGGTATTGAACTTCCTATAACGTATGCCGCCATATAGCCACTGCGGGCTGCTTGTTGCTGGTTGTGTGTGGTGTGCGGAACGTAGGAAGTAATAATAGTAATAATAATAAAAAAAACTTATGCGATAACTTGCTTATTAGTTAACAATAATCAAATTTGTTAAAAGCGATATGCCATATGTAAAAAAGTTAGTTTCTTGTTAGTGTTTTTTGTGTTTAATACTTCGAAAGTTCAGCTTTGAAAGTAAACAGCAGATTGGAACAATGTATACATCTGGGGGATGGGGGTGGTTATATAGGATGTGGATCCGATCCAAAGTCTGCCGCCAAGTGTGGCTGCGTTTGCTGTTGCAGTTGTGCGTGACTGGAGGAATATGGTACGGGTGCCCGCACAAGGGTTAAGCACACGGCTCACACAATCGACGACCTGTCCAGAATGGACGAGGTGTCCAGCAAGAGTTCCGTGCTGCTGTTCAGAATGTCGTAGAGCTGGTGTGGCGCATCTCCGGCAATCGGATTGCCGAACGGGAAGAACGAAGAGAGCGTCGCCAGCTGCAAGGAGCCACCGACAGAGTTGAGGCTGTTCGTCGGTGTGGCCACCTTCGTTTTGCGTCGCCTCTCCACCCCGTCTACGTACTCAATTGGTTCTCCATCCTGGTCGACAATTGGCGCACCACCGTCTTGGGAGCTGGTCTGCTGATGGTTGGGCCTCTGTTCCCCGGTGCCCTCGTAGTAGGCATCGGGCAGATCGTCGAAGTTCTGCAGTTCCAGGCAACGCTGCACCTTGGCTATGTTGCCGAGCAGCAGGCGATGGAAGAGATCTACCTGGGCTTGGCCACCGCCTCGGATGTCGAGGACGGGCAGCCACCGATAATAGCACTGGTCCCACACGGCCAGATCGAAAATGCGGTGCGCCGGCAGTAGGTACCGGTCCTGCGGCACCGACGAATGCGTTGCAAACAGCTGCGGATTGATGGTGTTGCGCGATGGCGTCGATGCAGCCACTCCCGGCTGGCCCACGGCCAGAGAGCGTCGGTTCTGAAGGCCCGCCGATGATGAATGTGACATTGCCTCGTTTCTCTGACGCTGGTAGAGCGGATTGCTGAAGAACATCTTGTCCTTGTCGGTGAACTGCTCGCTCCAGTCCCACACGGGACGCAGGACCAGCGGCGAGTCCTTGACGGCACGCACCCGCTGCGCCTGGTTGTCGAACTGGAACGTGTCGAAGATGGGCATGAAGCAGGCGTCCCACAGCGTCGTCAGATATGTCTGGGAGAACTCGAACTCGTCGGGGAACTGCTGCAGCAACTGCCACACACAGTCGAGGAAGAGCAGGAAGACGGGGCTCTGTTCGCTCTCGAGGACCTGCTCGCCGCCATTGGTCGCCGTGTAGACATGTCCGAGCCGACGCTGGAAGGGATGCTCGAGGGCGATCCACTCCTTCTGCACCAGCGACTGGAAGCCATCGATGCTACGGAAGTGCGGATCGAGTAGCAGTTGGGTCAGACTGCTGATCACACAGCACAGGTCCCGGCCGTTGGACTCCTGGAGAACACACGTGGTCGAAGAGCGCAGGGTGGCCGCCGCCTCGCTGGAGTAGCGCAGACACAGGGAGACATAGAACAGCCAGTTGGTCTTCTCCAGCAGCCCCAGGTACTTGTCGTCCTGCAGCATGAACTTCTCGGGCGTCTCCGGCGTGCAGAGGCGCCTCAGCTTCTGGTAGGCCCGCAGGACGTCCTGTGTGCTGGGCAGACGATCCGTTAGCTGGAGCAGCTTCAGTTGCTTGCGCTCGTCACACTTGCGCACCAGCTCCAGCATGATGTTCTCCACCTTGGTGTCCTGTTGGGCCGCTGGCTGAAGCTCGGCCAGGCGTACCAGGGAGGCGGCACTGCTGCCGTAGCTGTAGACCCAGAAGGCGGCACGGGAGTCGCAGAAGGCACGCGACAGGTCGAGGAAACGATCGACGCTGCAGCTCTTGGGTATGACAAAGTGCGGCGGCACGGAGTACTTGCCCGCCTGCAGCGGATTCTGCAGCAGCTGGACACTGTTGCTACTCACCACCTGCCACTCAGTGGCACCGCATCGGATCAGCTCCCGCGCCCAGTCGTTCTTCGTGGCGTACATGCTGACCCCCGAGGCGCCGAGTGTCGAGTAGTACGGCTCACGGTAGGCATACGCAAAGCTCAGATCGTGCCGCATCGGATATGCAAAGCGTACCAGGGCCGATGCTATCAGCTTGCCCTGATCGCTGACTCCGCTCAGCTTAGAGTCCTGCTGCTGGAAGGCGAACTTGAGCAGCCGAAAGTTCTTGCAGATGATGTGCAACGCGGCAATCCGTCCGTTGATCGTGTGCTGCTTGAAGGGCTCCAGCTTCTTCCGGCGGCTGCTGTTGCTGGCCATGCGCGCCGCCTGCAGCGCACTAGCCGCTCTGCCCAGCTCCGCGATGGTGTAGATCTGGTCAATGTTGTTCAGGGTCACATCGTTCCGCCCCAGATAGAGGTTCTCCTGATACAGGTCGCAAAGGGGCGCCGTTGCCGTGGGCCGTCTGGCATGTAAAGGCACAAAGGCCAACTTGAAGTTGGTCACGCTCAGCAGTCCGAAGGTGGCCTCCTTATGCGGCGGATTGGATTCGCTGTTGCCACCACTGTTGCTGCTACTGCTACTGCCACTGCCGCTGCCACTGTCCATGGGATCGATGGGCGAGTACATGTAGGCAGGGGCCGAGGCCACAATCTGTTCGCCCTGCAGCAGCCGGGGCCGGGCGAGATGAACGTCCCTCAGGTCGCTGGGCAGGCACCATTCGTTTGTGTCCGCCGTGGCGCGCATGTCTCCCGGCAAGGGCGCCACATAGCTGGTGAAGGTGTTCCGCTTCCGATGGTCTGGCATCTCGCTGCTGCCGCCGCCAGTGGCCATCGTCCAATTTGTTGCCCTGGCAATTGTTGCTGTGGCTGTTGCTGCTGGCCCACGGCACGGCACGTCTCTTGAATATTCAATTTTTTTGTATTTCCTGCCTGTCTGCCTATCTGTCTGGGCCCCGTTCTGTTCCGTTCCGTATTTCGAATTTTTACCGCTACTCAGCACTCAGCTCTCTTCCTGTGCCACACATCCAAAAAATAATATTAATAATATAAAATACACAAAAGCCACAGACAGAGCGCGAGCGGGAGGGAGATATACAAGAAATTTAGACAGACGGTGTGGGAGAGAGAAAGGGAGAGAGAACATAGACGAAATTAGAATTATCGTTGTGTGATAAGTTTATCAGTCGAACTTACCGTTCCGATTACCACCACCACCTCTCGATGTGTGTGTGTGGCCGCTCGAGGTGTTTCTCGTTTCCAGCGATCGGGATCGGTGAGGGTGTGGGTGTGTGTGAGCTATATATCAACTAGCTAGTCATCTTTCCGATAGATGCTGTACTGATGTGCACATAACATACGTCTTCAATATGCATTTATTTATTCATTTATTTTCGTTGTCGCTACAATTATACGCCACTAATACGTACGCACACACACACACACACAAAAGCGCGCACACGCACTCACACTTAATGCACTTGGACAGTGTGACCGTACGCGGGTAGGGAGCTAATACCAGTATCATGACTAATATTTAAAGGGACCAAGATTCAAAGGGACCTATCGACTCGACATAGTTTTAGCAGATATTAAGCAAATCTAAATTTGCATTCAAAAAATTTTTATTTTCAGCAACTAAAATTAATTCCTTAATATTACTCGGCTCAAAATAAAGCAATCCTGAAGAGAAAATATCTTGAAGATGAAAAACTATATATGAAAATCATGGCCAAAATATCGATCTTCACGAAACAAATTTCTAATAACAGTCAGTCATTACACTTCTATTGAGGGCTGTGAAACAAAAACCAACAAAAACATTGGGACAAAAGAATTCAGCGTAAGCGAGATAAATATTTCTTTGCTTTAGCTCTTATATTTAATCGATCTTCTGGAACTTCCATATAAGAATCAGTTGTGCATTACGCACATTTCTCGTTTTGTTAGCGTGTTTTTTATACCATACCGGTATTGAAGAGTTGTGGAATTTAACAATATTTTTGTTAAGTATTTAAATTTTATTTTTAAAGATCGAAATTCAAGAAGCAAGCAAGAAACCTTGCGAGAAAGGCATGCAGTGCTAGAGAGAGACATGTACATATGCTTAAGTCTAGAGTTTTATTCGATTGTTAGATTTTGCAGATATAGGTTGGAGAATCTAACCGGCTGTGCGTGTGGAAG